TGTATTTATAAAGTATAATTCGCCCCAAAATGTCCTTTCTGTCCTAATGTAATGACGTATTCATGGTCAGCTCAGCTGTTTGTTTACTACCGAGAGGACACACATGCTCCTGTGAATGAAGACTACATTAGTGAACCTGCATAGTCTGTGAATAACAGGTAATAAAGTCGTAAACAACATTCAAATTGTTGCACAGAGTGATCGTTTGGGTGCCGTGTCGGAAGTATGATTTGCATGTATGTTTTTTCCTCAGTGATGTTTCCATGACACGAACCCCACACGGCAGTGAAAGGGAAACCAGCACGCACATCATTTTAATGATCATATCGCATAGAGTTATGATTATGACAAGCATTTGATTTTCCCAGAGATGGGTTGCGGCTGGAAGGCCATCCGCTGCTTATTATTGTTGTTTTACCATATGTTTAAGTAATATCAATAATAATAGCCTACTCATATTAACCTATATATTACATCTACAGAATCGTGATCTTGATTTTAAGCAAAAGAAATCGTGATTCTCATTTTTGCCAGAATCTGTAAATGTTACCCAAGTAATCCGAGGATAGGAACGCCTACTAACGACTTCAGTCACCACCAAAAGCAATAGGCAGCTACAAAGTCAATAGAGGCATTAAAGTTCTACTGAAGAAAAATCAGATATCTACACACTAAATGGCATGAGGTTGAGTAAATAAACAGCATTTTTGGTCAAACCACCCATAAAAGGATAATTTTACAGTTCTTGATACAAAGAAAAAAAAAGTTCTTCTAACATTTATAATATGTACTATATAATTACATGATGTTTAAATCACAATCACATCATTTTTACCCAACACTCTTAGCTATTCTGCCTTTGACGCAGTCGATATCTCTACATACCAAATACATAACTCGTGTGAAATAAGTCTTGCAACCATCTGAGCACGTCGGAACGGCATCTCCCTTAGGGTTATATACAAATATCTGCAGTGCATTTTACCTCCACTGAATTCTCAAATGCCTCTCGGAGCCATCTGTGATGATTTTGAGTGATTGGGCAAAGCAACTCATTTGAAGCTGGACCGGCGAGTTCCCCTAGGACACTTCAGACAAGAACCATCACTGAGAAATCTCTCACGCCCATAAAACACACACTGTTCTCTAATAAATTCAGCCAACAGGATAAACAGCAGCTCAAGTGAATGAAAAGGGACAGAACAAGAGCAACGCAGCTCCTATTTGCCCGCACACATGAGGCTCATTTGGATATATGAGAGGCATATCAGTCTATAATTGGTCTATCGGCTCACAAGCTTCAGTCTAATGACAGAGCATGTGATCTCGTTACGGCAGATGGAAAGCTGTGAAATAAATCAAATCAAAAGAGCTTGTGTCTAAAATTGCTCTTGGTGGTCTGCTATGCTGACCTTTGCAATGAAAACCAATATACAAACAAACTTCAGACAAGTAATATATACTTTGTGCGATTAGTATCCTATCACAGCTTAAGAACATTTACCAAAAACAACTTGTGCGATAAATAAAACAGGCCTACCAAAATAGATTTTTTTTTAAATGATACAGATTTATATTGCACACATAATACCTCAATTCTTTAAATACTGGTAGGTATTCAACGATTACAGATTTTGGTTGCATGATTATAGTCTGAGGAATAATCACGGTTTCACAGTTATCACGATTATTATGATCACTTTTGATCAACTATTTCAAAATTGTTTAGTATTTTCCTTTTGTATTTTTTTCTCTTTAAAGTAGAAATGCGTATATTCCACAGCCTACAAAGGATGAAGCTGACCGGTCAGTTCTGGTCACGTGACTTGTGGCATTCTTTTAACTAGGTGCATCTGGAAAACGTGAGTGCAGCACGCGGCGTGACACTGCCAATATGCCTCGATTGGAAATAACGAACTTGCGTGTGCAAAAGACAGCCCTTAGCTAATAGCCACAGCTATAGAAAAAACATGCCCTAAATCCAGTGTACATGCGTATTGTGTACAGGCTCGGAACTTTAAACTAGAGCACAGCTGGTATAACTTTTAGTTGCAGCAGTTTTGTTCCATGCAGAAATGCGGTGTTAAAAATCCTTTACGATTAATTGACCATGATGAATTAAAGCACGGTAAATAGTGAAATCGGTTAATCGTCGCATCCCTAAAAACCAGTCATTCTCATTCTCAAGTGAAAAGTAATCAAATGTGTGTGAACACTGAACATGAGGAGCTTGACAAATGCAACCTAACGATTACTCTTTGTTCAATTTCTAAGCAAAAATTCTTAAAAAAATTCCAAAAATTCTGAGCGATGAAAAAAATGTCTGTATTTATTTAAAATAGAGTTGCTATAATCCCCTTAAATGTGCACTCATCAGTACAGGTGTCTATCATTCTGTTGTTTTCTGTAGTGTGTTTTTGTGTGCCGTTTCCTCCATTTCTTTTCTAATGGCAAAACAATGGCCCTCTGAGGTTTAACACCCTGTATTCAAAGCAAGTGTTGGTTGCATGTATACAGAGACAGATTTTTTAACACATTCTCAAAAGCCACATGTGTGAAAAAACTTAAAGTACAATATGACTATGAGCTATACCCAAAAAACGAATCATAAATCAATAAATAACTGTAAAAAAAAAAAAAAGCAACTTTTCAAACTGTTGAAGAACATAAGTAGCTAAATTTTAACATTATTAAAAAATAAAGTGCAAACATTTTGAAAAGTTTCCAGAAATTTACCCAATATATTCCACTCCTTTACAGCCCTATTTATTGTGGTCACAAAAAAATAAATAAAGAAGTATACAAGTATTATTTTTAAATGATAAATCACCTAAAAATGAACATTCTTTTTAGTAGCGTCAGCTTATACAGGTTTACAAGCTCATGCCTAGGCAGAGTTGTTTTCACAACTATTAGCTGAAGGCGCTGTGGATTAAAAGTAAGGTTGTTAAGTAACATTTATATACTATATTTGAGTTTGAACATACTTCATGATCTAAAAAGTACATTCTATATATTATGAATGAGAGTAGTTGGAATGGAATTTGGATGTACTACATTCACAATTTGTCATTATCACATGACCTACCCATGCCAGATGCATCACTTTACTGCAATTCATAAATTCTCTTGAAAGGCATCATGGGATGGTAAACTGTCTATTGGATGTGCATTTCAGAATCTCGCCAGTAGTCACGTGGCTACTTCTTGCCTACTGTAAATTCAGACATGCTGTACTACTTGGCTTGGGCTCACATTAGGGTCGCACAATATATCTTTTCAGCATCGATATCGCAATGTGCGCATTCGCAATAGTCACGTCGCAAGATAAACAATGTTAAGTCGGATTTATAGTTGACAAGGAGCTACAAAACATGAGATTGTGGAGTCACTGCTGAGTTTAACCATAATAGAGTGAAAATGTATCATTCACATGTGTTTTTAAGGCCTGTGACTCAGCATTTTAAGAGAGTATAAAACATTTGGGCTCAAGGAAATTATGTTTGGAGGTGTAACATAAGAATTGCATTTAATTATTTATACAGAATTTTATATGATTTACGGAGAAAGAATTCTTGCTTTGAATTTGTCATTTCTGATCCAAATATCTACATTTCAAACCGAAAATAAGATTACTTCACTTACCCAATTGGTAGATAATTATGATTGTTTTAAAGAAAAACCTTTTAATTTTGACTCAGTTTGACTGGTAAATAAAAGTGAACATAGTAAGAAAACCTCAGATTAACTGTCAAATACTGCTAATCAAATCATCTTGTGAAACTGTAAACAAATCACAATATTTATCACAGGAAAATAAAATATCACAACATCAGATTTTACCTTAGCTCACAAACAGATTTTTACATATTTTAAAGTAGTAAAGTATGCAGTTTTTTAACACTAAGGATTATAGTTCAAAAAGATACATGCATATTTAATTGTTTTGACTAAATTCCATTTAGGGAATCACATGGTGCATTGGGTAGCACAGCAAGACGTTCACTGGTTCGGGCCCAGGCTGGGTCAGTTGACATTTTGGTGTGGAGTTTGCATGTTCTCCCGTGTTCACGTGAGTTTCCTCCAGGTGCTCCGGTTACCCCACAGTCCAAAGACTTGCGGTACAGGTAAATTGAATAAGCTTAATTGGCCATAGTGTGTGTGTGAGAATGCAAGTGTTTATTGGTGATTTCCAGTGTTGGTTTGCAGCTGGAAGGGCATATGCTGTGTAAAACACATGCTTAGTTTTGGTTGAACTATTACTTTAAATGTCCTGTAATCTGATATTGTAACATAAATATATAACAGTTACGTTATACAATTAAAAATCATATTTAATTTTACTATAGTGTTTTACTGTGCTCTTTTAGATTTATATGAAGCTAATTTGCATTCTTAAATAATTAAATAGCAGTAGTTAGAAAGTTGGACTTGTAACTCAAAGCTTGTAGGTTCGATTCCCGAACAAGGCACCTAATCTCGAATTGCTTCCCGGGGTGCTGGAAGCAAAAGCTGTCCACTGCTCCAGGTGTATGCCAGGCTGTGACTGCACTTGGATGGGTCAAAAGCAAGAACCTATTTCAAGTACGGGTAACCATATACTTTACAATGCTCACTTCCTTCACACACACACACACACACATATATATATATATATATATATATATATATATATATATATATATATATATAAAATTTTTTTTTTTTTGCATAAACCTCACCAAAAATGTAGTGCATCTAAAATAGGCAAAAGTTAACATTACACAATCCTAATCCTATTGAAGATAAAGAGATCAATAAAATATTGTTGGCTGCTTTTCTGCCTCACTGACACCATAATATGACACCCACAGTATGACTCAACACACTCCCACAAGAAAAATATGCTACATGTTAGTTGATAAACCTGCACAAACATCAATAACCTGAATGGATCTGTATGCGAGATGTGTAGCTTGTGCTCTGCCTGAAGATATGTGGGAAGTGTTGAATAAACTCACCGCTGCTGTAGGCATATGGAGACTCAGCAGATCCGTCTTGAAGGCTATCCAGGATCTCTCCCTTGCCCACGTCGCTGTCTCCGACCAGGAGGAACTTGAGCAGGTAGTCGTAGCTCTTCACAGGGCTTCCCTGGGTGCCCATGACTACTCACATCAGAGAGCAAAAGACAGGAGACCACTGAGTGTGTCCCTCTCTGATGCCAAAGATGGACCCCTGATTCCTTCAGAGCCCTTGTGTCTGGTCTATCTTTAAACTTGTAAGACGAAGGGGAAAATCAAACCATTTCCCACACTTCCAGTCCAAATGCGGGAACACAAACTTGTTTATAGTATATATATAGTCTGTAAAACGTCCAGCTGTGTTCAGTCCTCCGAGCTCAATGTTGTAAAACAATATGAATCATAGGGTGTATAAATACATCAATGGATTGCGAACAGCTACAGTTGGGTTGTTTACATTGTTTCAAACGAGCTTAAATCATCATTACCGACTGAAAGCTAAAATAACACGCGTAAAATCAATCACAGAAACGACATTCATGGCCAGTTATTGCTGTAGCAGAAAAGCAATTGAGCTATCGAGCTAGTGCATTGTTAGCATGAAGCCTGCCAAGCTGTCAGCACAAAGAAATAATTTCATTACATTTTTTATAATCTACATTTTTATCGGCTATGACAATATTATCAATATGAATGTTTACTTGTATTAGTAAAACTAATTAAAACGCGTCCAATTGGGGTTCGTTGTTCAGCTGAAGTAACCCAGCATCGGCTAACGCTAATAGCTAGTTACAAGCATAGCGAGTCAACAACAAGCGCACAACATTGATTTTACACCATAACTCCAGAGTTCAGCATAAACCCGTCACGAACACAATCTATCCCCGCTGGAAAGACAGAAAACAAAACTTTATCTGACGAAAGGGAAAAGGATATCCACAGTTAGCTTAAGCAGTTGATGCTAACGCTTCTGGTAGAAATCATGGCTCCTTTTCTGTTTTGATGTGAATAACAAAGATTCATGCAAGTTGACGCTGCTCCTCTCGGGATCTCTACGCGCTATCAGGCGGTTTGTTTGGGGCGAGGCGAGGAAGGCAAGTTATTAAACGACAATCCGTCCTGCTGGATATGATTGCATGCGCTGTAAATTCTGTCGGATATCCAAATATGTCCCATGATCTCTCGCACAGGAGAGATCACACACACTGTCACGCTGAGCTTTCACCTCTGCGTACTGCTGCGCTCTAACTGACTGGACCTCCCCCTACACGCGCGCACGCGCACACACACACACACACATGCACACGCGTCTCGAAATAGGTCCATATTATGTATAATATAAATACAAACAATAAAAGCTTAAACAGAGTTAAATTAAAATGAAAAATAACCAGAATAAGAGAGCAATGTTAAATATATCCATATATCTATAAAGTACCCTAATATTGAAGACTGAATTCATATAAAATTAATGTAAAGCTACAAAAATAAATAAGTTAAATGAGAAATGAAAATATTAAATCAATAACTTTACCATTATATTATATTATGTTATATATAACATTTAATTATTTTATATAGGGCTGCACGATATTGGAAAAACCTGACATTGTGATATTTTGTTTTTCTTCAGTACATATTGTGATATTGAGTATAATTACACCAGATGAAATGAACGGCTCTATTTGGAAATAATTTATAATTCTAGATTGATTGGGGTGACTTTGTAGTTTAGTGCACCTGCACAAAATATAATAAACCAAATCACTAGCATCAATAAATACAATGAAGCAAAGATGCAAATGAAATGAACAAAATGTCATGGTTTTCTGGGAGTCTAGCAGTATTCAGGCAAAATAATAAACAAATGTAAAACAGCACTGTGTAGTCTACATCATATAAATATCTTTCAAGTTACAAGCATTACACTTTTTTGCCTAAATGTGTAAAAGTGGTTTGAAATGCTCAGAGGCCTTATAGGAACAAATGCAACTAATAAACATGTTGGTTAACTTTAATAAAATTTTGCAGTGAATCCACAAATCACGTTTTCAACTGGATAAACCCAACACAACATTGCAGATCCTTCGATGTGACTCTTGTTTTAAATAGATAAAAATAGAAACACAAACAAAACAGGCATTACATTATGACACACCCATTCATGACAGCACACAGCATGATTCCTCTGCCACATCTCTTAATTCATTTGTTCTCAGTGAGTATGAAGGCAGGTGATGTTGACGTTTAACAATCTTGTTTTAATAAGTGTGCAACTGTTTAGGCTGAGGGGTGGTTGGTACTAATTCTGTTTATTTTGTCTGTCTGTTGTTAGAAATGTGGTATTACAAACACTTGGGTTCATTCTGTCATTCTGCCAAAATGGTGTGGCTTGCTTTCCTTCTGTTGAACACAAAAGATGAAATTTGGTTGAATGAAATAGTCAGAACTTAGATAAGATGTTAAAAAATTAAAAGAAAATTTTGGGGCGAGCTGTTAATAACAATGCCAGTGACTCGCGGCCCCCAATATTCTCTCAAGTGGTTATAAATGTATAAACCTTGCACCCAACGGTGCACATATGCCAATAGGCCCAAGTCTATTCATCGTTTATTTTTGGAGAACGCCACTTGGAGACCCTCCTTCATGTTCAGTTGTGGTCTGTATTTATTTTTAATGTATGCGAGTGCCGTAAAGGTGTCAGAAAGTTTAACCTGGTGCCCTGAAATCAATGTCTAACACTATTGCTTTGTCTTAAATATAACATAATCAACACTGGGGTGGCAAAAACAAAACATTTTGAAAGGCTAATGCCTTTTTAGTTGCATGTTGTTTTCTTAATGTTTATCATTAACATGTTAGCAATGTTACTTTTAACTACTATTTTGTTCTTCAGGAGGTTATGGATAAATTATGGTAAAATTTTTTATAAATTTTTATAGTTTAATAAAATGTTGATTTTCAGAAATCGACCCCCCCTCCCCCTGTTATTGTCTCGCAACCTCCCAAGGGGTTTCGACCCCTACTTTGAGAACCACTGCCTTAAAGGGATACATAACCCTAAATGAACATTTACTGACCTTTTACTCAAGCTAAACCTTTACGAGTTTCTGTTTTTTTTTTTTTTCAGTCGAACTTAAAAGAAGATATTTGAAGAATGTTGGTACCATGTGTTCTCCTTTCATAGCATGAACGTCAATGGCTATTGGCTTCCAGCATTGTGCAAAATATCTTCATTTGTGTTTAACAGGAAAAAGAAACTTGAACAGGTTTGGAACAACTGCATGGATCGTAAATGATCAGATTTCATTTTTGGTAGAAATATAAGCCTTTAAATATTCTGTGAAATGTAAACGTGAAAAATATGGATTGTTTTCACCTTCTGTTTCCAGTAAACCGATATTACAGGTTGCTGCTGGTGTGACAGATGCAGGAGGGTTAATGTGCTGGGGAAAAGCCAGAGGTCTCTCCACATCCAGGGAATCATCAAAGGAGGATAATCCCCCTCCCCCCAAAAAGATTAAAATGCAAATTGCTGTATGAAGTCTTTGTGTCTGCCCATCCAGATTACAGCTACACGAGGGTCTCGAGGGAGACAAGGGGACATCTGGACCCTGCATCAAGTTCTATCAGTCATTACACAAATGCTTACAGCTCATACATTTATACAGAATAATATATTAAACAGAACCTATTTTCTGCTAGGATGACATTGGAGCGGTTTTGAACACGATTCAATCAGCTTATTTTCTATCTATCCATTCATACATCTATCTATACATCCGTCTATCTATTCATCTGTTTTTCTATCCATCCATCCATCCATCCATCCATCTATTCATCCATCTCAGTCCGTCTGTCTGTCTTTTTGTTCATCCGTCTATCCATTCATCTGTCTTTCTATCCATTCAACCATCTATCTGTACGCCCATCCATCCATCCATCCATCGATGGGTGAATTGATAGATAGATGAGTGGATAGATGGATGAATGGATAGATAGATCTATTCATTCATCTATTAATCTATTCATGTCTATCTATATATTCATCCATCCAGCAATCTATCTATAGATGGATAGAAAGACTGATGAGTACCTGGAAAGACAGATGAATTGATTGAAAGATGAATGGATGGATAGATGGATAGATCCATTCATCCATCTCTCATTCTATTCATTTGTCTTTCTACTAATTCATTCATTCATCTATCCATCCGTGTGTCTGTCCATCCATCTATCCATCTATCTATAGATGGATAGAAAGACAGATGAATAGATACACGGATGGATGGATGAATGAATGAATAAATTATCCAAATCTATCTATCTATCTATCTATCTATCTATCTATCTATCTATCTATCTATCTATCTATCTATCTATCTATCTATCTATCTATCTGTCTGTCTGTCTGTCTGTCTGTCTGTCTGTCTGTCTGTCTGTCCGTCCGTCTTTCTATCTATCTATCTATCTATCTATCTATCTATCTATCTATCTATCTATCTATCTATCTATCTATCTATCTATCTATCTATCTATCTATCTATCTATCTATCTATCTATCTATCTATCTATCTATCTATCTATCTATCTATTCATCCATCCCATATTTTTCATTTTCCAGGGCAATATTATATAGATACATGGTTTTATTATTATATCTGCTGATATTTTATTATAGCCTATACTGTTTGTTTGAATATTAACATTTATTTATTTGCACTCCATCTTCAGCATGCAAGTTAGTAAAGATGATGGCATTGCGGAAAGGTGCAAACAACATTTCAAGGCATAGTTCAGCCAAAAAAAGATTAGTTACTTACATAATGCTCACCCTGCATTGGTTCTGTTTGGATTTCCTTTTTTGCTAAACACAAAAGAAGGTATTCTGAAAATTGTTAGAAACCTGTAATCATTGATTTCCATAGTAGAAAAAACAAATACATGGAAGTAAATGGTTAAAGGTTTGAAAAAAACCTTTAACTTATACTTAACTTAAAAACTTATTTTGTGTTCATCAGGAAAAGAAACTCAAACCGGTTTGTACAATTTAAGGAAGAGTAAATGACAAAATTGTCAGTTTGGGGTGAACTAACACTTTGGGACTTTACGGTTTTCATTATTATTGGTCAGTTTGTCTGCTTGACAATGCCATTTAATTGCACTGCAGCAAAAGAAAAAAAAAAGAGACAAACACAAACTGAAAAACATTTTTGTTCAGGTAAAACAGAAAAGGGAAATTTAGTTTAAAGAAATTTTAAACTAATCTAATATCTTCTGTCTAGTCTAATCTATGTTGTGCATATTTTTCAGTTTTCACCTACACATCTTTGTGTCAGATATACACAATAGCTTCATGTCCTCAACACAAACATGAAGGTGAATTCCCAGATGTCAATGAATAATCAGTTGCCTGGCCTGTCATTGTCGTGTTGTTCATGGACTCCAGTCTGAGCACATTCTTCACAGGCTGTTCCACCAAACAAAAGATCCAAGACCAGTTATACACACTGTACACCAGTTGTTTACAGCTTCAACATTCATCACCAAAAAAGCGATCTAAGATCCAGAGATACTGTATGTATACAAATGGATTAAATAAACTTTATTAAAGGGTTCAAAGATAAAAAAAAAAAATGGCACAAAATTAATTCCACCTGCATTTATACACATTTTATTAACTCATAACATTATTAACTGCTACAAAAACACAATTTGGCAATGATTATACAAGAGGATCATGGTTAAATAATTTAATAAAAAAAATGTAACTATACTTAACTCAGTCAGTTCACATTGATCAGGTAGATTAGACTTATATAAATGTATACAATTTTATAGTACCACTTTAAACTTTATAGTACTTTAAACAACTTTACTCAAGTCACTTTCCATCTACCTAGCCTATCAGGAGAGGCTAAAAACTAATAAGGTTGACAGTTTTACTTCCAGTTCAAATAAATCTAATAAATTGGTAGTGATACAGCGATCAGAATTAACTATCAAACTTACAAGTAGTACATGGCACATCTTCAAATGTTATACAAAAGTAGAAATAGACTTAAAATAAATACAAAAATAATCACAGTTTCAATCACAGAAATAGTGATTCAATGTTTATCTAATTATTTCATTTAACATAATCTGTATTTTTATAAAAGAAAAACTATTAAGACTATTTTGGAAGTGAGTGAAGTTTGACGAACAGAGCATGTTTTCCCCAGTGTGCACATGTCTGGTTATGTTAGTCTAGTATAGTGTTGTCCATTCCTGAAAGAGTTTAGCTCCAACCCCAAACAAAAAAGGCAGCTGTGTTGGCATAAGTTTGAGCTAAACTCCAGAACCAGAATTGAACAGGCATGGTACCTCAAAGTTAGTCTGTCTTGTCAGTCTTCTGCTTCCAGGGGTAAATAAGTTCTCCTACAAATAGTTTCTTGCACAATGCGGCCCATGAATCCTTAGGGTAACAGCTATAGGTGGGCGTCCGGTAGCGCTGTAGTACAGAGCTGCACTTCAATGGGTTGATCTGAGGGTGGAGAAAATTATTTCTTTTTCTGTCGTTCATGTTTGCTCATCTAGAACATCATTCATTATCAAACCTCATAGCTAAGCAAAGCATGTCCAGTGTTTGTACGGATTATGAATTCAACCAAACAATAAGCCTTATATAACCCATCCCAGAAAATCAACAGGTCAAACCCAAACCACAAATGAAACTCAATTATAAGTCAACCGCAGGATTTTAAACTGTTCTCCCAATAATAAACCTACCTCCATCATCAGGTGAAGCGGAGATCCTGACTCCTCACAAAGCACTTTGAATTTAACACCCTCTGGAATACGAAGACATAATATGTACTGTTATCATTATTTACTTGTTTAGGATATATCTTTTCACATTACGATTCTAATGCTTAATCATTTCATTGTTAACCCTTTAACAACCATCGTAACCACCTGGTCGACCTTTTATCCATAGGCTATCATTATTATTTTAATTGCTTATTACTATTTATCAGAGTTGTGTCAGTATATTATTCGATTTAAACATTTTTTTCAAGGAGTGCACCTTAAAGGGTTAAAATTACTCTAATCATTTCAAATGTGTTCTTTTAAAGAGTATATTTGCATTATGGTGCTATTATACACTTTATAAAATGCAGGGTTCCATACAATACCGTTATGTTGCTCCAACACAAATCAAAACAGTAAACCTAACCATTTTCACAAATTAAAGTGATTGAACATAAAACAATTAAGTTATCCCCCCAAAAAACTTAAGAATTGTGTTGTCTCAAGTCCTTTTAAATAAGTAGTTAGAACAAGAAGCAAAAGTCATTTTTGAGTGTATGAACCTTTTACAGATTTCCTGGTTGTTCAGTAGCGGAAGTCGTCATAGGTGGGTAAACGTAGAGCGCCGTGAACAGGAGAGTACAACAATTTTTTTTTTTTTACAATCCTATTTGCTTAAATAATAATAGAAAAACTTGCAATGGTCAGCAATGGTCAGTAACCAAGGCTATTCTCATGGCAAGAACATTTCAATAATAAATATACAATTAAAAAGAACAAACAAATGAATATGTAAATTAAATAAGATTTTCAGTGCTAATACAAGATAAAAAAAATTCAAAAGTTTTTCCTGGTGTCACTTTATTAAAAATGTCCTTAAGAGAGTTCATTTAATAAAAAAGCCTTCTGGAATTATTAAAAGCAGGACAGTACAGTAAAATGGGGTTTCAATGGTGTTATCAAGACTTTCAAAAAAAAAAAAAGGAAACAAAAATTATGTGAGACTATTAACAGCCAGAAGAAAGAACAAGGTCAAATTTACTGTCCTGTCTATACACTCTGCATTACAAACGCATCATATAAGCAGTAACTCGCTAATATATTGCAAAGAGGATATAATACATACATAAATCCACATAAATGTGCATATGTATTTTTAAATCTAAACATAAAAAACCTTTAAGGATTTACGATGCTGAAGCCTGTTAAAATGCGTCAGAACAGTCCTGTAAAAAGGGTCCATTTTAATACTGGCATTCTATAATGAGTTCCATAAAATGGCCCTTAAATGACATTAATATAATTTATCACAATAAATTTAGATGCAATAAATCATGCAACAAAAATGTCAAAAATGTCATGACAAGCTCAAAGATGATTTATATAGTGTTTTAAATAACAGATCAGCTATAAAACAAAAAATAAATAGGCAACAGGTGAGATAATCACAACAGGACATGGACGTTCATAATTTCATCTTTATAATCAGTTGTTATATTTTTAAAAAAAGTCAACGATTAAATCAAAGAACGTATGCATTTCTTCAGTATGATGCAGTATGGCTCACCTGCCAGTCTGTATGGTCTGCAGATGCGCAGGCCGATGGCAAACAGGGGGAAAGAGTTGATGAAGTCGACACTGAGGTGAATCACTCCCTGAAACAGAACCACCACCAGCCGCAGCTACAAGCACACAGACAAACACATTACAAACCCACCAACCCAGATGGAACTACATACGGTATAGATCTTTTTAATTCAAAGATTTGAATTAAGACTTGGCGATGCAGTGGCTCGGTAGGTAGTGCTGTCGCCTCACAGCAAGAACGTCACTGGTTCGAGCCTCAGCTAGGTCATTTGGCGTTTCTGTGCGGAGTTTGCATGTTCTCCCTGCGTACGTGTGGGTTTCCTCCGGGTGCCCCGGTTTCCCCCACAGTCCATAGACATGCGGTACAGGTGAATTGGGTAGGCTAAATTGTCCGTAGTGTATGAGTATGAATGGGTGTGTATGAATGTTTCACAGAGATGGGTTGTGGCTGGAAGACCATCTGCTGCATGAAACATGTGCGGTGCATGAAGTTGGCGGTTCATTTCGCTGTGGCAACCCCTGATTAATAAAGGGAATAAGCCCGAAAAGAAAATGAATTAAATCGATTAATTAAGACTTATGTTCAAAACTGAAAGTCTGCATGAAACATTTGCGAAAAAAAAACATAATTTCTATCTAATGAGTCAAAGAGACGATAAACTGATAAACTGGCACTAAATGACAAAAAAAAAAAAAAAAAAAAAATTACTGAGGTATAAAGTGGCAAGGTGAGCTTTTCCCTTGCACTTCATTAAATTAATTAATTAAAATAATTGCACCTCAAAAGATAAAAGATTAAACTCAATAAATGAATGGCAGTTTTTGGAAGTGCGAGACTCTTTGGGAGCACAGCTGCTCAAGACTGGGATGTAATAATACTAAATCACTTTGATGACAGACATTGGCTGAGACATTATAGAATGAGAAGCAGGGCGGTGGCGCAGTGGGTAGCACTGTCACCTCACAGCATGAAAGTCGCTAGTTTGAGCTTCGGCTGGGTCAATTGGCATTTCTGTGTGGAGTTTACATGTTCTCCCCGTGTTTGCGTGAGTATCCTCCAGTTGCTCCTGTTTCACCCACAATCCAAAGACATGCAGTATAGGTGGACTGGCTATAAACCCTGCTAAATTAGGCTAAAATGTTAGTAGTGCATGTGTGTGAATGAGAGTGTATGGGTGTTTCCCAGTGATGATTTGCAGTTGGAAGGGCATCCGCTGTGTAAACATATGCTGGATGAGTTTGCAGATCATTCAGCTTTGGTGACCCCTAATTAATAAAGGAAAATCAATGAATGAATTATAGAATGACAAAAACATCATTTTAGATGTTTTACAATTTGGTCGATCTGTTAGTTTGTCCATTAATATAATCTCACTGTGCCAATTTTTGTTATTATATAATCTGTTAAAAAAAAATCAGGACTTTTTTGAAGAGCCTGTTGTAAGTTATTCGATAAATCTGTTTCCATCGTAGTTCATCCAGCAATTTTTGTTAGATAAAAAATTATCGTACTCTGTGCGCATAAGAATTTTAATGTGCACTTACCAAATGTATGGTGTTTCCATTAAGCATTTTATGTGATAGTTCAAAATTCAAATAAAAGTAGGTTGATGGAAGTAAGGTGGTGGCGCTTCTTGATTAATTATTAATGTTAAATGGACTGTTCATCCCAAAATTAAAATTTGCATCCTCACGTTTTCAAGGGTATAGATTCGTTCTTGACATTGGTGGGCACATACATCCCTATAGAGCATGCATTGAACAGCATAAATTCTGTTTTGCGCTATTAAAAATATGAATAAAGTATTTAATAATATAAAATAAGCATTTATTAATAAAAATAAAAATCATGTCCCATGTTGCAAAAGTCAATTTACATGATTTTACAGCTGTCGAGCTTTGAGGAGGTATGAACGTAGAGGAATTGTGTGTGACGCAATTCAACTGTTTTATCCTGATTATTGTATTTTACAATCGGAGGCCAAAATCAAAACTGAATTTTGATTAATTGCACAGCCTTGGTTAATAGTATTACGATAAACTTGTAGCGAATTTGACTTGGTGCTCATGTAGGTTAAGAGTTGAAGGAGTATTAGTTTATGTTGAAGTCGGTTCAATTATTGGAGGGAACACATCCACTCCGTTCATGCCAATTCTACACCCTTGTTCCTCACTTTCACTTTTCCTAGCTACCTATAATCATATTATAAATTATAGCTAATAATATTGTAAATATTGCTCAATTTCTTGCACAGACCAAACATTTTACTATCATCAGAACCCACAGAGCCTGGTTTGTACAGGATTATTTTTAATATTATATAATATATAATAAACATTGTACAAATCACCTAAAAATCTTCCTTTAATGTTCTGCAGGAGGAAACAAACTCATCTTTCCGTGACCTGAGGATGAGTAAATTAATTGTAAATTTTCTTTTTTGGGTGAGCTATCCCTTAAAGACATCAAACACCCAAAGATCCACCACCAGATTTCTCTGCTATTTGGTATTTTCTATGATTAAGAAGCATTTCAAACCCTATGGCTCAGACTAAACCAAAAAATCAGTAGGTTTATACCAAAATGGTAAAAAGTACTGTTCAAGCATTTGGGATCAATAAGATTTATGCCCATAAATGAATATTACAGCACAAAAAGACTCTTAACACTTCACACATGCACGTGTTTTGGGCAACTGTTGTCTAACTGTATGAGGACATGCACTTCATCTCCAGAACTGGAAGTCACCTAATCAGCATTTTACCATTACATTTGAGTAAACAATTGTCCCAGCATGCTATGTAAAGTGCAAGACATGTCATTATTTGAATGATTTCCAAAGGATCATGTCACCACAGTGAAACCTGGAATAACAGCTGCTGAAAATTTAGCTTTACCAACACAAGAATAACATTTATACAAACAATTATGCAACATTACTGACCCCAACATGTTAATCAGTAGCGTGTATAGGACTAGCAGAATATTATCAAGAGTTAAAACATGCTAACCATTATGGAAACTAGGTTTAATGACATATGAGCTGGTGTATGATCATCTTAATGGTCGCATTCACAAGCACTGAATTGATGGTCTGAGTAACAGAAAATGTCAGAGAGCTGCATAAAATGGTCCAATAGCTCTGCTGGAATAGTGATGAGATTGAAGTTTATGTTGGAGTGACTCACCAGGGTAAAGACCAGGTAATAGAGGGCAGTGGTGGGCAGCAGGAACAGCAGAATTGTAAAGAGCAAAGTCCCTATGAACAACTGCAAAGAAAAGAGATCGGTCGAGTTCTGTGCGAAATGAACTAAATGGCCAATACATGAATAAATCATGCTGAGACGTACCTGGTCCAGGTCGTATGAGCACGAGTCCACCCTCTGCCTCAAAACGTTCCATTTCTTTCCTCTAAAGAGTCGCCAGAGCGAGGAGAGACCGTAGATCTTCAAACAGTACAGCCTGACAAGACAGAAGAACAAACACTTCACAAATAAAGAAACCACCCTGCAGTACTCAAAGAATAGAATAATGTCAAAGGTAAAATGAAAATGTTACCCAGGATCACTAAACCTCATAGGAATATTCAATTCAATTCAAGCTTATTTCTATAGCGCTTTTACAATGTAGATTGTGCCAAAGCAGCTTAACATAGAAGTTCTAGTAAATTGAAACTGTGTAAGTCCAGTTTTCAAAGTTCAGTTCAGGGTGGTTTAAATTTTACTGCTGAAAGTCCAAACACTAAAGAGGAAATCCATTGATGGGCAGCTCCACAAGTCTCAAACCAAGCAAGCCAGTGGCGAGGAACAAACTTCACCACTTGACAAAAGTGAAGGAAAGGAAAAGATCGAGAGAAACCAGACTCAGTTGGGCACTACCACTTATACATCTGACCTATATAAAATACAACTGACCCATATGAAAAATACATTGTATGGGTCAAATTCATGCCAAAAACCATTAGTATACTAAATAAAGATCTTGTTTCATGTTATAGACTATTAAAAATGTCCTACCATAAACATATCTAAACTACATGTAATGAGATATATACATTTCTAAAAACTAAAATTGAACAAGTTGAAACTATAACTCCAATATTATTTTTACTCTCACATTACAGATTTCAAAATAGTTGCCTTTCAGGCAAATAATGTCATATTCTAACAAATCAATCATCAATACAAAGCTGTTTTATTCAGCTTTTAAGTAAAGTCTTAATTTCAAAAAGCTGATAATTGTGACCCAGGGTCTATGGAATTTTGTTTCTTTATTATTCAATAAAAATATCTAGTTTTAAGGGAAAAAATAAGTATATAGTAATTTAAAAAATAAAAGACTGTTTAATTAAAAAAACTTATGTCAAGGGAGTCCAGTCCAATTCCAATTGCGCGAAAACATAGTGGGTGTGGCCAACCTGTGACCTCAATCAAGATTGACCAATAAAATAAGGCCTTTCATCCCGGTGAAATGTGCATTTTTTTGCAGTGCACATTTTTTATTAATGACATTTTTTAATTAAATGTTTTTTTTTTTTACTTTAAATCATTTATTTTTTAATTACAATGCACCTAATTTTGGTGAAAAATTCATATCATGGGTTCAAAACTTTTCCACACCAAGCAAAACTTTTAAAATCACAAGCAAAGATTGTAGAATGTAAATGGCAACAGAGCAGAGAGCGTGAATGAGTGTGGAAGGACAATTGTGTTATCTGCATAATAGGACAATAATTTTTTGCGATCCAAAATATTTTATCATTGACATAAGTTTTTTTGTTAAACAATTCTTTTAATTAAACAATCTTTTATTTTTTATTAACTATTTACCCTAAAACTTTTTTTTTTTTAAATAATAAAGAAACAAAAATAACTCCATAGGGGGCACAAGTAAAGACTCAGAACTCTAATTATAAGGTTTAGACAGATTTAAGAAAGAACCTTGAAAAAAAAAACTACACTCAAAAATGATATCAAGCCTGATGTCTTTAAATAACAATATATTTTTTCTTTCATGAAACACAAACTCCTATTTCACCTCTGTTTTCTGTGAAACTCTACTTGTACATTGTACACTTGGACGTTCAGTTTTCTTGCTAAAGGGACCAATTATAGAAGTTGATACTGCCCTCTACTGGAAATCAAAGTGTAAAAACATTACAGATACAATGGGGTATATGCACTCAGATTTAGAATTTTCAGTAAGCATACTCAAACGCTTCAGGTGAACTGTGATGCCATTACAAAATCACAATTAAGATCTAGTTTCTTTAGAAATCAATATTCTTCACTGCCTGATAGATATTCAATAAAAAGTGTGTCTCAGACTGGACAAGAAGCACTGCATTAAATTCCATTGTTCAATGCTATATCTTTAAATCTTATGGAAATTTATTTTACCACATTAATTTCAATGGATTATCTGTGCTCGCCTGCAGCTCCTGATGGTGCTTCTGTTTAAACTTTCATCCAATTTTAGCCCAGAACATATAAATGAACGCTGAAGTCCCTGTAACTGATAATATTTTAATTACATTGCTACATCGATACTGTAAAAGCAACCTTATGAAATTCTAAATAGTCACAAGCTTATCAGTGGCTGAACAACTAGCTATGCATATAGCCCATTGGCTGCAGCTGAAATCGCATAGTGTACAGGCACAAAAAATCTGCTGTATGCAATAATACATGTCTTTGAGAGGAAAACCTGCTGTTACAAATTTATCTAAATACTATTTTCAATAGTGTATATGGCGTCAAGTTGTTCACTAAAAGTACACAGCATTCGTATATAAAATTTTTTATTTGTTTTCTTACCACTAAATAAAGACTAAAAAATCTTTATGAGTCCTCTAAATAGAGACTTACAACTTTGTTCACACACTTTTTTTTTACCAAGTCTAAAGCATGTGATTTTGGATGCAGTCAGTTTGTTAGAAAACGTAATATAGAGAAAATAAATAAACCTCACCGTGCTCCATACACATAAAAGCAGTAGATGTGGAAAGTCAGGAGGGCCACAATGTCGGACAGGATGGAGAGCGCAAAAGTCAGCCCCAAGCAGGCTGAGAGTCCGACGTACCACAAGATCCTCTCAATGAAAGGAGACATCAGGTGGATGTAACCTGTTCACACAAATCACAAGATATCATGAGAATCTGGCATAAGTCTGAAACACCAAGAGAATGCTTCAAATTAGGCTGTACGTACTGATCCACAGATGAATGTGATAAAGAAAGAACCTCCCCAGCACTTGATCGAGAGCCTTGTTCATCTTCAGTCCAGCAGGAGCTCCCATCAGCCATTCTAACAGCTGCTGGAGCTCTTTGGCCACATGCTGAAACACAACCCAATTTTTTTTTTTATCATTATGCATGTATATTTATTTTAATATGTAAACTGATCCTAAGTGAAGCTAATATTTTTTTCCTCATTTTATTCTGGACTAATGGGTTTAAAAACAGCTTTGCAAACCAAGAAAACAAAATGAAAAGAAAATGTTTATTTATTTTATTTGTTGTAATATTTTTAACTTTTTTAATCAAATGAATCAAAGATAAATAAAATGAAGTGAAAGACAGAGCCTGTCACAATATATATATATATATATATATATATATATATATATATATATATATATATATATATATATATATATATATATATATATATATATATATTTTGTTGTATGATATATTGCACCAAATATATTGCAATAAACTATATTACTGTCATTTTAAGACCATTTTATGCCATTACATATTGCCAAAATGACAATATAATAGCATCACAATGCAAGTACACTCTTCCCAAAAACACATAATGTTTTATTCTGAAGAATATTTATTATAATTATAGTCATTTTAACAATTTAATAATTAGGCATTGGAATCAGAATGTGAAAACACATATCTTTAATAAATAATAATAAATATTAACCAAAAAGTGCGAGGTAACGAGTAACATAGGCTGCAATATCTGCTGCCAGATCTATTTTCAGTGTTCAGGCACCCACATAAAAATATAGTACAGTTATTTAAAGTAAATATTGCAGTTCTTTTAACCATACTAACATTGGCACCTCCAATAGAGATGTTGCGAAATCAGCTAAAATGTTGCTAGAATTGGTTTTTATGTACAAGCATTGGGCAATATATATTGCATCGGCAAAAAAGATTGAGGTCATGTCCATGTGTTGTGTGATAAATCGATATATTGATTATTGTGACAGGCCTAGTCAAAGAGACTTAAATAAATAATGTAACCCTAAAACTTTTTAATGGAAATATATTGTCATACTTACATCAGCCACAGGTACCAGAGTATTGGCTAATTTGCTGATACGATTCTCCCTATACAGCCATGAGATGAGCAGCAAACCAAAGGCTATGTCCACAAGGAAAGACACAAAGATGTTTGCTTTTCTGCAGAGGAGTGAAAAAAAGAAAGAGTTAAGAGATTATATTTGATTGAAAAATCTAATTAAAAAGTTAAACATTTAAGTAATTAACATGCTATTTTTATAATGATTTCTAATATTGCATTTCATTCTAAATAATATTTTGAAGAACAAGTAAAAACAAATCTAAACATTAAGATCAAAATGTTTCATTACAAGAATGAATGTAGATTTTTATTTTAGAATAGCATTTACAATGCAACAATTGTCATAATAAATAAGTCTCTTAAAATATCAGGACACTTGACCTTTTTATTAATGCAAGATTAATTACCTTGAGTATTGATGAGTACTTAAAATTGTTTTAATGAGAACAATAATCATTACTTATACATGTTATGAAATTTACTTTTAAAATACTTTTAACTTCAGAGAGTGTTTTATTTCATTAAACTGATTTTTAAAATAGGGATTAAGAATCTGCATGATATTGGAAAAATCTGACATTGCAAAATTTTGTTCTTCTGCAATATATATATAGTGTAATATATATTGCAATATATAGTGTGAAATTTATACAATTTCTCCTAAGACTGAATAGCACTTATTTGAAAATAATTTATTATTATTATTTTATGGTTTAATTATATGGCTTTTGTCTCAAACTCCTAATTTGCTCCTTATTAATAGTTATTAAGGTAGATTAGGTATTGGTAGGACTAGGGATGAAGTATAAGATTATGCAGAAAATGTAGTTTATAAGTACTAATAAACAGCCGATATCTCAATAACATGCATGCTAATAAGCTACTGGTTAATAATGAGAATTGGTCCCTAAAATGTTACCGAATGTATAAATTTTGATTAATTGGGATGATTTAGTAGAAGAGTGAATAATGTAAAAATAAAAGTGAAATAAACATGCTTTATGGTTTTGTAAATGTAAAAATGACACTGCAAAGTCTTTACTGTATAAATAATTCAATATAATTAATCTTCCGATTGGTAAAACGTCCTGTGTCTGAATACTTAATGTCTCTTAGGCCTTAAAAACATGCAAATTATAAATGTCACTCCATTATATTTAATTTCTGCAGTGATTCAACAAATCTCATGTTTTGAACTGTGACACTGGCTCAACTATAATCCCAAATCAACACTGCATATCTATGTGATGTGACTATTGCGCTTACACACATTGTGATATTGATGCTAAAACGATATATTGTGCACCCCTAACAGACTTACACGTTTTTCAAAATCAAATAAACAAAGCACAAGGCAAAAGTCAATGCTAATGTTTTTTTCTCTTTTGTTATCAAATGAAAACACTCGTTTTATGTGATTGACCCCTTCCTAGGGCCAGACAAAATCTGCAGACATTTTTTGCAATTTCTGCACAGAATTTTGTAAAAAAAAAAAAAAAAGGGGGGGGAATTTTTGCGAAATGATTTTGGGAGTATCGTGACTAAAAACTTAATATATGACATGAAAAAGAATACCTTTTTAACTTTTATTTAATGTTTACAATGCAAATCCAATTAGATCCACTGATTTGGTAAACAAAGCAAGTCTCTCATATAATATCTCTACTAAAAGACAGAACATATTACTTACAAACTATTGTAAACAAATCATCTGAACCTTTTAATATTAGTCAATCATACTACTGAAATGAATTTAAAAACTGAATAAATATAAATGCACACACATTTAAACAAGTAAATAAATACACTCAATGATTGGCTAAAATCTGCGGATCTACCCCTACCTCATGAAATCCATGTGTGTATCAGCTTTTTTAGGGGAGAAAACGGTCTTAAAATGAACGGCCCTGTAACCCGACTGAACACACGTGGACAGCTTGCTTGTAATGAACTTCACAGGAGGTATATTTAAAATCCTGTCAAACAAGAAAGGATGTGATTAACACATTTTCAATACTGAAAACAGACAGAAGATGGTCCACTTGAACTCACCTAAAGCTGCAAAACCAAAGCCAAAGAGAAAGCAACCACGTGAGGCAGATGCACACCGGCACAGATGCTTGTTTAAGAAGCTCTGCAATAATACTAGCCTCCCTCCCTTCAGACTGCCAGTGGGTGAGTTTCAGCGGCCCGTCGTCGTATTTATCCAGGAAAAACAGAGGCTGACTTTGAGCAACTGTTTGGAAGACCAAGCGCAGCTCTGACGGCTCGATTTCAGACTTTTGGTCAGCCTCTTGCACCGGATGAAGCTGCGACAGCATCACCTTCCTTTGGTCATAATGAACGAGGATGATCTTATCTTCTTCACTGCCATCTACATCACTCTTCTGCTCTTTGTCCTGTAGAAGCATCCCATTGTTTTGAACCACCCGACATGTAAAGCCTCTTTTGCCAATCTCACGGCTCAACTGCAGCCAACATTTCTGAGGAAAGATGGTGCTCAGGTCTTTGAGGAAGCTGTCCAATCCTTCTTGACCTTCTTTTGGCATACTCCAGGAACCCAGCACGGCAAGATCCACTTGAGTCTGGCTCTGGATCTCACTCAAGTACTTTTTTACCTGTCCGGGTATGAATGGATAGTGAACGACAGCTAGTACCACAGCAGAATTGTGTCCTGGGATCCAGCGCCCGACCAGCAGGCCACTGTCAGCAGTGTTGCAGCATTGAGGGAAGAAGATCTTCAGCACCATGTCTGTGTGCTATAAAGTCCACCAACAGCGAAATATACAGTCCTGTGTGGGCACAAAAGCATTATTTTAACGCTAGAAACAAGAACACAAAAAGCACCATATGTGTTAGACATTATAGCACGTATAATACAGCATTCTGAGTAGTTAAAAACAAGCAAACAAACAAACGTGTTGTATGTTAGCAGCACACACATCTAACGAGGACAGCTATATAGCTGTGCCCTTCAAATCGGTCATTTCTATGGCAACCACACGCTTCGGGCAAAACTCTCATCGATTTTATTCACGGCACTACCATTGACAAATGCAAGGACGTGCTATTATATGCTGTAATTGCTAGTTAAGTGTTTATAAAGTTACCTTGTTGATTTTGAAGGTCGAGAAATTCTGAGAAGTTGTTCTGTAGGAGGCGACGATTAAATTAACGTTACTAAGTGCGTTAATCAACGCTGGCATTATCTCAAAAAATAACGCGAAATCATAGGGCAATTGTAATAGATATGCTATTGAATAATCCAGCACGTGCTTTTGTTAAACTAACTGGAAACCAGTTTTTCAATGGATTAGACGGACCGTAACGTTCATATTGTTTACAGTCCGTCGTTAAAATTCCGCCGGGTGAACTTAATGGATATTTTTTTGTTCCGACTCAAATAGTTCAAGTAAGTTTTGAATGGCAATTTTTCCGCCAAAAACAATTTTCCCAATGAATGATTCCATTCATTTATCATTATATTTAAAAAAAAGATCAGATGAGCAATAGTAGCAGATAAAGAAATAACCAAATATGCTACTATACATATGGACGACAAAAACAATAAATAAATAAATAAATATACAAAATAAATAAACAAATAAATAAAAGAATTAATTAATAAATCCACAAATTTCCGCATAAATAAAACAATAAATAAATATGCAAATAAATATATATTAAAAACCCACAAATTCCTGCATAAAGAAATATAGTGCGGGCAGATTAATAACTAAATAAGTTACATGGATGTTGGGAAAATAAGAAAATGCTAAACTGAAAGTAGATTTCCCCTCTTTTACACCACACTATTAATTATTTATATATTTATTTTTGCAGAAAATTGTAGATTTATATATACATTTATTTGAGTATTTAATAATTGTTTTATTTTTGCAGGAATTTGTAGATTTATATTCACATTTATTTATTTATTTATTTGAGCATTTTTTTTTGTTAAAAAAAAACAAAAGATGCATGTTTTGTTAAATTACGCAGGAATTTGTGTATTTATTCATTTATTTATTGATTGATTTCCATATTTATATATTTATTGTTTTATTTATGCATGAATTTGTGTATATATTTGATGTTTGTGTATATATATGATGAATTAAACGTGTACTAATTTGCAAAAGGAAGATTAAAAATTTTTCCCAAAACATTATTCAATAAAATGTTGCAGATATTGGATAATGAAATCTACAGAAACAAATATGCAATGAAAAGTACACTTTAAAGCAGGATATATTTAGTATGTTTTCTTAACAAAAAACGTGAAATATTCTTTAAGGCAAAAAGCACTGTTTTTTCATGCTTTTTCAGAGATTATTTTCAAATAATAATATTTTTGATCATTAAAGCACTTAGCAGAGTTAGGACTGCATGACATGAGCCATAAAACCTAAGCGTAGAAGAGTGTACTTACATGAACCTCTGATCTGTGAATGTGTCTAAATGAGACTTTTCCTAAATGAAACGTTAGCTATCTTAACATTCAAGACAAAGGGGCCCCACAAAACCAGCTTTTCTTTCTTGATAACAGCTTCTCTCACATGATAACACTTACATTTAGGAGGGAACTGATGGAAGAAAAAAAAAGAAGAACAAAGGCTGTAGAGAAGGCTGTGGCTTTATTATTTTACAAATGTTAATTTGCCTATTTAAAATAATAAATTTAATCATAATGTTTATTTTTGGGACACAAAATAAAACAACAAAAATAACTTTATAGGCAGGTGTAACCGTGATTTGTAGGTTAACCATATTTGCCAAATGAAATAAACGTCTTCTTATTCTTGCAAGAATAAAATATTAATAAACAATAAATAAATAAAAATAAAACATCTCCCTCCGGTATTCTTGGACATACTTGGATCAACCTGAATTAAGGATGTAAAAAAAATTGTGTGGCTACCAGAAGATGGCGCTATAGTCACATTAATATAACCCTGAGTTTTAAAGTGATAAAATATAGCAAATATTGACGATTCGGAGGTTGGACAGACTGGTCTTAAATTATAATATCAGGAAGGGATAATAATAAATAAAAAAAATCACAGACTTACAAAAGCTTTGAACTCATAGCCATTAAGGTGTCTCTTTGTGTCCTAATGCCTAAACTTCAAAGTTTTTACACAATCCAAATTAAGTTAAATTAACTGCGACAAGTTAGACGTCGAATCAAGCCCGATACAAATTAATATTTAACCGTTCAAATAGCTTTTCTAACGGAGAGTCAAACCATAAATGTAAATTCAGCATTATATTTTCTTACTTTTGAGGGACACATAAGAAGATATTTTGAAGAATAGTGGTATCAAACATGGGTTTGGTTCCCAATGACGTTGTATGACTATGATAATAACAACAACAACAACAATAATAATAATAATAATAATAATAATAATAATAATAATAATAATAAATAATGATAATAATGACACAGTGGATCAGTGGTTAGCACTGTCGTTTCACAGCAACAAGGTCACTGGTTTGAGTTTTGGCTGGGCGTGGGTTTCCTCCGGGTGCTCCGGTTTCCCCCACAGTCCAAACACATGCGCTATACGTAAATTGATTAACTAATTTGGCTGTTGTGTATGTGTATGTGTATGAATGAGTGTGTATGGGTGTTTCCCAGTACTGGGTTGCGGCTCTAAGGGCATTCGCTGTGTAAAACATATGCTGAATAAGTTGGCTGTTCATTCCGCTGTGGTGAAAATGAATGAATAAATAAAGTAAGTATTATCATTCATTCATTTTCTTGTCGGCTTAGTCCCTTTATTAATCCTGGATTGCCACAGTGGAATGAACCGCCAACTTATCCAGCACGTTTTTACACAGCGGATGCCCTTCCATAAAAGCCTTCCAAAATAGATTTACTAATCGACAGTCAAACCATTAATGTATTTTCAGCATTTTATTTCTTTATATTTAAAGAACACAAAACAATATATTTTGAAGAATACTTGTATCAAACATGGGTTTGGTTTCCAATGACATTGTATGACCATAATAATAATAATAATAATAATAATAATAATAATAATAATAATAATAATAATTTTAATAATAATAATAATAATAATAATAATAATAATAATAATAAATGAAAAAGTCATACAGTATGCAGACACCAGATACGCTACTATAAGCTTAAACAAAGCCTATTCAATCAAAATGTCTGGCTCAACATTATGCAACAGTCACCTCTGCCCTGTTTACAATGAACAGTGCTTACAGAAAAGGTGGCGTTTTCATGTAAAGATACTGCTGGGCGAGTCACGTGATAAGGAAAGCCAACGAGAAAGCTAGGGATTTTTTTGTGCGTGTGTCTGATGAATGATCCACACCTTTTATAATAATTCAACGACTTTGCACGGAACACGTTTGTTTTTGTTGTTATTATTTGGTCGAGAGACGGTTTCGTTTAATCTAGGTCACAAAAAAACTCTTACTACATAACGTATATTTATGTTTAATGGGATTTGGCTGCAGCTCTGCACAGTATTGCTCCAGCCCTAATCAAGCACAGCTGATCCAACTAATCACGGTGTTCAAGACCACTAGAGACTATTATTAGGGTTGGAGCAAAACTATGCAGAGCTGTGGCCCTCTAGGAATTGAGTTTGAGACTTATGATCAATAGAAGGAATGAGGAAATAATTGTGTACTAAATACTGCACAAACTTAAGGGAAGTGTTTAATGAGGCCATGATAAGAATTGTTTCATATAAATAAACAAGGGTAGATGGATTTCTAAACACTGGCTGCTATTCAAGGAAACCACTCGAGTCTTTTTCTATTTGTGGCTTGTGGGGTTTAGTTCACGTGACCTCGAACTGAAAGTGACCGGTCAGAATTACTTTAATGATAAGTGACAGGATGATAAATGTGAGACTAAATGTATAGTTAAGTATATCTTTGCAGGCTTGCAGCAAATAATATAATACATTTAAATAGGCTACTCCCCATTTTTCAGAAAAACGCATGAAAACGTAAGGTAATTTAGAGAAAAAAACATTAGAGAATTACAACGCCATCTCCAGGTAGCTTTGTATTAAAGCAGTTCACTAGCTTTCGCTTTCGTTTTCCTGTAAAGCAGTGGGATACGCAGAAAGAAACAGACTGAATTGTTTGTATATGCAAACATATTGCTATTGTACCATAAAGGAACAAGGTAAGGATTATATTCATATATTTATGACTATACAACTGCATATGGCTACAGACTGTATATATGTTGCAATAATTTTTCAGATTTCACCTCGAGTCTCTGCATGAGAGAGGGGATTCAGTCAGATAGCTTATTATAAATCTGAAGCACTGCATTGTGAATGACACCGATTTACACGGACATGCAAATTAATTATGTTAGTCTACAGTCTGTGAGATGCACTTGGAGGATATGTGCATGCATATACAGTTCTCAGTGTAAATGAGTAAACCGCATTTTAAAATGAATTTATTTATTTTTTAGTGAAAATGGGTAATATATATTGGTGCATTTGAACAAAACAGATTTATTAAACAGATATATTTATTGCAATAATAAACTGTTCGTTACAGAACATCTCTGGAAATTAAAAGATACATTTAAATTCATGCAAAATATAGCAAAAACATTTTATATAATATGTAATATTTATTATAATAATATTTTCCCTAATATATAAATTTTGGTTACTAATTTTTGAACCAATGTTGTAAGTTATTTTGTTAGATTGGCTCCAGATTTAGCTTCAGTGCTGACTAATCTAATGTATCTGCACAAATATAATATTGTAAAGCAATCATATAGAACAGTGGTTCTCAAACTTTTTTCATCAAGTACCACCTCAGGAAAAAAATTGTCTCTCCAAGTACCACCAAAATGAGCAGTATTGAAATATACAGTAGCATAGTACGCCCAGTTAAGCAGCTGCAACTCTGCACAGTTAAAAAACGTGGCATATTAGCCCAGAAATATAGGCTATATGTCATATATGGCATATGATATGCATAATTTTTGATAAATTTTGAAAAGTGTGTAGCATATGCATGACATATTTAATTCCTCCGCGTACCACTAGAAGGAAGCCTGCGTACCAGTAGAAGTACATGTACCACAGTTTGAGAACCAATGATATAGAAAATAGTAATTTAAATGAGATATTTGTGAGGGGTGTACACATATATGCTGAGGACTGTATGACTGTTAAATTAAGACCTCAAACCTATCATCACGTAAAGTAGACACGCAATATATGGTCTTTCTGCCAAGATATCTAGATTAAGCTAAAACTCGAATGATTACACTGGCGTCATGGTCTCAAAATGTCACTGCATAAAAATGTGCTAAACGCGTTCAAGCAGTTCCTGCATCTGATAAAGTGGCTTGTTTCACGGAAGATAATAAAAGCTTTGTGTATGTTTAGATTTCTCTTCCTTGTGTATGGAAGTGTAAGCACGTTACTCTCCTCTAGTGGTGCTTCAACTAAATATCGTCTTTCTGAGAAATACTAGCGAAACCAAAAGTATAGGAGCCAGTAATTCTACTCCAATCCAAACAAGTCGTTTGAAAGGCAACCCTAATCTGCATGATTGGAATTTCAGTTTCGCAATGATATCATTTAAATGAAACACAGGGGCAGGAGAGTTCATACTCAAAATGTTCCAAAGGTGTGCTAATAATAATGATGTCATTCATCTTGTTGACTTGGCTATAGGAATACAATTAGTTTGCAACTAAAGAGTACAAGCTCATGCAGATATTGGATAAACACACACACACACACACACACACACACACACACACACACACACACACACACACACACAAAACAAATTAATCAAAAACGCATGCAAACCTACACTTAAGAAAAAGTTTCAAGAATGATTCCTTGGAATCATTATTCATTATCACTATTTTTTTAAAGTTAAGTGGTTGTAAAAAATTTAGTTGGGCTGAATTTAAACAAACAAATTAAGTTGAACTTTACTCAATTTAATTAGGTGGTTTAAATTTAACCTATTTAAGCCTAATCAAGAGAATAAAGATGTTTGCATAAGTGTGTTTAATAAACAGGTGGCTTTTGGTGCAGTTGTGCAGTGTTTACCACATCTGAGTGTATACAGACATCTCAGTCTATCTCTATTTGTAAGAAATGAAACTCATGGATAAATGTTCGCCGGGTGCGCAGGTGTGGAGTTGCAGGCCAAAATTGAGTTTCATTTATGGCTAAAACTGTACGCAGTGGACATCAGCTTACTTTCCAACTAACAGTCAAAAAAAAAAAAAAACAGGTCAACTGCAGATATGCATCAATAATATGTATGTTTATGTGCAATGCATGACATGGATAATGTGCAAACCCAGGACGCATGAGTTTTTATTTCATAAAAAGAGATAACTCGAAAAAGTGCATATGTTTATATTCAGGATTGTGAAATTTCGTTTTACATCTGTGCAGTGCAATAGAAGATAGATGTACATTTTCAAATACTTATATACTATGGTAACATGTTAAATACATGCATACATGTGCTTCTCCGCTTTCCAACAGTCAAAAATATTCAATAAAATTCATCTTCATTTCTATAGTGATTTTACAATGTAGATTGTGTCAAAGCAGCTTAACATATAATATCAAAACAAATGCAGATGGGCATTGTCAATATTGACTTTGTTTATTCACAATGTACAGTGAGACACATAATGTGCAAACCCTGTAGTATGCTTATTTTCAGGATTGTGATATTAAGTTTTACATCTGGACATTGCAATAGAAGTTAGATGTACATATTTTAAATAATGATATGATAAAATGTTGTTAATTCTGTCCAGACAGACACACACACATACATACATGAAATGTACAAAATTGTATTATAGTATTGAAAATGTACTTATATCTTCTATTGAAATGCACAGATGTAAAACAAACTAAGTCCTGAAAATAAGCATATGCACTTTTCTATCTATCTATCTATCTATCTATCTATCTATCTATCTATCTATCTATCTATCTATCTATCTGTCTATCTGTCTATCTGTCTGTCTGTCTGTCTGTCTGTCTGTCTGTCTGTCTGTCTGTCTGTCTGTCTGTCTGTCTGTCTGTCTGTCTGTCTGTCTGTAGCCTGCTTCTACTGATTAACTGAGCTTTTTTACAAACACATGACAGTTTACAAACACATGACAGCATGATTATAGATGTCATTTTCTTCCTCTTTGAAAGTTTATCATAAATGCCGCTTTTGTTTGGAAAGGCGTGTGTTTAAAAGAGAAGTGAAAAAATAAAGGGCTACTGCTTTCAATTCAGAATGGACTAATTGTTCTGATTTGCTGTTTCCAAGAAATGGGCGGGGCTGGCTGTAAGCTCAAAGTATATCTGAATGCGCCTCTCGAGCATTTCATTCTGACATTACAAAGAGCAGAAAGCAAGAGCACAGAGTTTGAGGTCGCGCTCTGAGGAAACCTCTAACGAGATATAACGGTGGAATAAATCAATGGGAGTTCTAAAACGCCCGATTTTGGAAGCGGCGACGAGAGTTTGTCAGAGGCAAAGTTGTATTGCCTGCTCTTGGAGTACTTGTTTACTAAAACGGTAAGATTCAAGCTTTATGCGCTTCTTAATTAAACTGTTAACAACAGTTCAGCGGTCTGTTTATAAGTGTAAATGTTTCAATTCGCGCCGCTCGCAAAAATAAATGTAGCTTGTTGTATTGCAAGTTGAAATGTAACACCTTTAAAGACTCAACTGATGAACTTTAAATGAGGTAACATTGGTTTTATATTCGCACATTCCTTCATTTAACGTTCCCTATATTATTTACTACGCTAATTTAAATATAGGGTTTGAAATCACATGTATATATGACTTAAACCAACATTAGCACTATTTAGGCTATTTGGCTGTGAACAGTGTACTTTGATATTTATTGGCTGCTAATATATGATTTCACTATTTAGAATTTGCTAATAATACTTTTCTGAAATGATATTATTAAGGAGAATGTGCGAATATAAAACCAACTTACTTTTTATCAACTATATAAAACGTACATTACACGTTTATATAGTGCTAAATACACTTAAATAATATATTAAAGATATACATTTATAATTAAGGCAAGGTAACCGCCCAGCGTCTTGATAAGAGCGTAAACAATGAGGAGTAATTCCACAGATAACCCTTACTGTGCATTTGTGAGTTTTAATTAAGTCACAATCACATCATTATCCATGTTGCCAGAAACAAGCAAGTTCATTATAACCTATGTGACGTCCAATAGCTGATGCTACTGAGTTGAAGAAGCTTTAACAGTGTTGTTCTTGCTTTTCAACAGACCGATGAGTCTCATCTAGATGACCTTCCTGTGGTACAGTATGGAAGACCACGCCGGTTGGTCTTTCCTGTAGGATGGTGGCGCACAGTTCAGTGGAAGGGAATCAAGGCATAGAAGATCGCCAAGTGAGCACTGAGGCCTCCTCAGACGTCTTCCAATCCCAAAGATCCAGGCCCAGGCAGAGTACCGTGGCTTTCCAGACACATTTCAAGCCGTTCAACTATGCAAGAGACTTCAAGATCATTTCCAACACCACCTCGATGCTAGAGGAGAGTGGCTTTTATTGGGGTCCCATGACTGTGGAGGAAGCACACCTGAAGCTGAAGAAAGAGTCAGTGGGAACTTTCCTGATCCGGGACAGTCGTCAGAGCGACGTTTTCTTTACACTGAGTTACAAAGCACAAAACGGTCCCGTCAGCATCCGGATTAACTTCAAGAATTCCAAATTCAGCCTGACAGGAAGCAAGGAATCTTTTGACTCTCTTTTCAAACTGCTGGAACACTACATCAGTTCCCCAAAGAAGGGACTCATTCGGCCCTGCAGGAAAGAGCCAGTGCAGTCCCTGCAGCAGTTGTGCCGGAGACAGATTATGGAAAGATGCGACGGAAAAGACATCGACTGCATCCCTGTGCAACCAATCCTCAAAGACTTCCTCCATGCCTTCCCTCATCCGCTATGAAGACGAGACTTGTTGCATTAAAGCGCTGCTGGAATATTCTGGAGATACTTGATGGACTCCTCGTGGTCCTGCTCCGTTTTAGGATGCAGGAATCGCACTGTAGCACATTTTGGAATATCAGACTTGAACACTGCACAATGAAAGTTTACGTTGTCTGTGAATGTTTACACTATATGGAAATGCTGTTTTCCTGTTATCGTTACATTTCTGCTATGCAGAGCGAAATATTTCAAGAGAGTAAGTTTTATAAAATTAATAAATATATTTTTAAACTATTTAAAACTTCTCAGTTTTCATTTCTATTTGTTGGGGGGTTCATTCACTGATCTGGATTTGGATCGAGTTGTGTTAAAGAAAGTTGAGTCAAAGGCTTAGTGAACTAAGTATTACAAAGAAATTATAAATCATTATTTTAGTCAAAATTTTAATATTATTTTCCGAATTAAACAACGCAGACGAGAACTTTTAAAAAAGTTTCCCCACACACAAATCAAGCCTAACCTAACAAGCTTCACAATTCATATCTCGACTTTAATCCATGTCAAGAAACCTGTTTTTTTTTTTTTTTTTCTTCTTCCTAGAATCTGACAAGTTAAAGCCATGACATATTTACTAGATTACAGGCTCATTGTACCTGAATTCCTAAAATGACAAGAAGCCGGGGACTTATAGGAAGCTGAGGCCAGACGTTCTGTACTGAAGCAGGCTGATTAATCTAGGTAGTAGCGTGGTTGAGGGGAGGAGCTGTGGTGACCGTAAACTGCTTATGCCTCAGACAGACATTTACAAGAAATGAAGTGGGTTGTGAGGACTGATGGAGTGTAAAAGGCGGAGCCTGAGATCCCCAGAGACGCTCATACCTGCTATCAATACAACTCTGCCACATAAAGATATGACAGGCTTACTCAGAAAAGTGACTAAGAACAAAACTATACTTCTAAACTTCAGCTCGCTGCTTGGAATTCCATTCACGGCTGAAGGAAGTGATGTGCGCAGTCATCATTTAATACCTACGACTGTGAGATCTTGTTACATTTTGTTTTTTATTGCTTTTTGCATCCTGACTGATCTTCCTATATAGAACAAAAACAATGAGGTGCTTTCTGAAGAAAGGTAAATCATTAGTCAATGCAAAGGTCAGATCAATCTAATCTTATCCTTCTTGATTCTAATGAAATTATAATACTGTGTGGAAGTCAAGGGAAAATCATTCAGTGCAAATGAACCAGGGATTTCCCTTGGCCATACTGATTAACTACATTTGTTTCACAGCCAAATCTGACATGAACAGGAAACTACCTACTAATGTAGAAGACTGAATGCAGTTTTGATAAGGTTTTGGGGTAAGGTTGAGCCGGTGTGAATCGCCAGGTTTAATCGGTCTATCATCTTCCCCTCGCTCGCTCGCCTGTAGTGATTAATACACATGAAAGCACAGTCAGTTCCAGGAAAAGATACAGTTGTGTTTCCCTGAAGAGGCTCTAATCTCCACTGCATCTGGCCTCAACTTACACAAACATACATACACACATGTGCTCCAGAGTGCCGTACACTTCCTCCTGGAACCGCAGCGCTCCCCTCCAAAACGCAGACACTGGTAGATATGCATACACACAAGCCCGTGTGGGTGATGAGCACAGAGAAATGGCCTAGGTTTGAGCTTATGAACGGTGAATGACCTCAAGAGAAGTACACAGAACAAAAATAAAATTTATAGTAAAAAATACATAATAAATTTAATGTAATAAAAGTACAAATTATATATTATATATATATATATATATATATATATAATATATAATATTAATTTATATATATATATAAATTATAATAAACTTATAATATATATAGTGTTTAAAAAATTTAATAGATTAAAAAGCATAAAATAAAAAAATATAATTAAAATAAATAATAAATAAATAATAAAACAGTAAAATTGGTATTATTTGTGGCAAACAATATAGTTTTGGGGGAGAAAAGAAATAAAAAAAATAATAAAATACAAATTAAAACAAAAAATACTTTAGTTCTGAGGCTATTTTTAAAAAATATAAATGATAAATAGAAGAATTAATCTTGCCGAGGGTGGCACGGTGGCTCAGTGGCTAGCACTTTAGCTTCACAACAAGAAGGTCGCTTGTTTAAATCCTGGCTTGGCATTTCTGTATGGAGTTTGCAAGTTCTCTCTGTGTTAGTGTGGGTTTTCTTTCGGATGCTCCGTTTTCACCCACACTCCAATGATGTGGTATAGGTGAATTGGATTAAATAAAACAGTTGTAGTGTATGAGTGCGTTTGTGTGTGTGTATGGGTGTTTTCCAATACTTGGTTGCGGTTGGAAGGGCATCCACTGTGTAAAATATATGCTGGAATAGTTGGTGGTTCATTTTGCTGTGGCAACCTATGAAATAGAGACTATGAATGAATGAATAATATTAGTGGCATATAATATAGTATTTTGAAAATTAAATAATATGTTTTTTGGGGAATTTGTGAAAAATGTAATTTGTGGAAAACAATGAAGAGCATTTAAAATAAAACAATACTATATTTATATTTATTATATCAATAAAACATCAAATTAATTTAGTATTTTGACAAATATTATAAAAATATGTAAATAGCAAAATATAAAAGTACAGTTTTTGAAATTCAGTTCCTATTAGTGGCAAATAATAATAATAATAATAATAATAATAGTAGTTGCAAAACATTAATAATAATAATAATAATGATAATTATTATTATTATTATTATACACTGTGAAACCCAGAAAGTTGATTAAAAACCGATTGCAACAAACCATTTAAGTTCAAAAACTAATCATAATGAATACTAATCCTCCATTTGAGTAAATGAAGCAATTTCAGCACAGTAAAACCCAATAAATGAAGAGAACTCAAACCAAGTGAGTACTGTAAGACCCAATAAGTTAAGGCAACAACCATTTGAGGAAATGGATTGCTACAATTTACAAACCATTTGAGTTAAAAAAAAAACTAATGTAAATGAGTACTGTGAACTTACTCCATTTAAGTTGAAGTAATGAAGTATTTAACTTATTACCTTCAACACTGAGTTCAAAACTCTGTTCAAATGAGTAGAATTAACTTTAAGTTAATTTTGAGTTAACTACACTCATTTCATTTGATAAAGTTAAATGTTGGGTTTTACAGTATAGTATAATTAATTGTATTTGTAATGCACTTTTCTCACACCCAAAGCACATACAAAACAACAAAACGCAACAAAGCATTATAAAACAATAAAGATACAGTGAGAATAAAAAAAGATTTTACAAATTAAAAACAGTCCTATAAATATGAGTTTTAAGTAGCTTTAAAAATGGGTTATTTGAACCCAAATTGAAAAATATGTACTAACCCAAATATTGGGTTAAAGTCGGTACTATTCATTTAATAAAAAAAATTAACTCAGCAGTTGGTTTAGTCTGTATTACACCCAGAATTGGGTTGAAATTTACATTTACATTTAGTCATTTAGCAGACGCTTTTATCCAAAGCGACTTACAAATGAGGACAAGGAAGCAATTTACACAACCAAGAGCAACAATGAATAAGTACTAAAGGCAAGTTTCAGGTCTGTAAAGTCTAAGAAGGGAAGTGTTAGTAGTTTTTTTTTTTTTTTTTTTTTTTTTTTTTTTTTTTTTTTTGTACAATTAGTGTGATATTCAAAGAGGCAATTGCAGCTTAGGAAGTGAAGTGGAGACTAAATAGTTGAGTTTTTAGTCGTTTCTTGAAAATAGCGAGTGACTCTGCTGTTCTGATGCAGTTAGGGAGTTCATTCCACCAACTGGGCAGATTGAGCGTGAGCGTTCGCGAAAGTGATTTTTTCCCTCTTTGGGATGGAACCACGAGGCGACGTTCATTCACAGAACGCAAGTTTCTGGAGGGCACATAGATCTGCAGAAGTGAGTGCAGATAAGAAGGAGCAAGGCCAGAAGTCACTTTGTAGGCAAACATCAGAGTTTTGAATTTGATGCGAGCTGCAACTGGCAGCCAGTGCAAACGGACTAGCAGTGGAGTGACATGTGCTCGTTTAGGTTCATTGAAGACAACTCGTGCTGCTGCATTCTGGAGCAGTTGAAGAGGCTTGATAGAGTTAGCTGGAAGCCCAGCTAGTAGAGAGTTGCAGTAATCCAGTTTGGAGAGAACAAGAGCTTGAACAAGGAGTTGAGCTGCATGTTCAGATAAGAAGGGTCGGATCTTTCTGATGTTATAGAGTGCAAATCTGCACGATCGAGCAGTTCTAGAAATGTGGTCAGAGAAGTTTAGTTGGTCATCAATCGTTACTCCAAGGCTTTTCACCATTTTGGATGCAGTAATGGTTGCCCCATCCATCTGGATTGAAAAGTTATGGTGTAGAGTCGGGTTGGCAGAAACTACAAGCATTTCCGTTTTTGCGAGGTTCAGCTGAAGATGATGATCTTTCATCCAGTGTGAAATATCCAACAGGCAGGCTGAGATACGAGCTGGAACCGAGGGATCATCAGGATGAAAAGAGAGGTATAGCTGGGTGTCATCAGCATAGCAGTGGTAGGAGAATCCATGTCTCTGGATGACTGGTCCTAGAGATGATGTGTAGATGGAGAAGAGAAGTGGCCCAAGAACAGAGCCTTGAGGTACCCCAGTAACCTACCATTTTTTTTAGAGTGAGTCCAAGGAAACAGCATTCCTAATGTTTGTTGGAGGAGGATTCCATAGTTAAAACATACAGAAATATAATAGCAAAGACAACAGTTTCTCAAAATTAAATGAGTTGTGGAAATAAAAAATAAAATAAAATCAGAAAAATTAGTGGCAAATAATAGTTTTGTAAATAATTGTTGTTCATGTTTTTTTCCCTCTGGCTTATACCTTTATCTGCCTGCTCTATCAATTGGTTGACCGTATTTTGACTGTTTTAAATAACGACTGTTGAAGCCATTTAAGAATGACTGTTTTAAATAATGGTTTACAAAAAAATAAATAAATAAATAAATATACAAACATTCCTGTTGCACTACTACGCTTGATTTTGGTTTTATTGTAATAAAAAAAATTAGAATCTAAAATATTTTATGGCATACTTCAAAAAATAAAGATGATTTAGTATTTAAAATTGTTTTATTTTGATTATGTTTTAAAATAAATTGGTCCTACACTTCATATGCTCACATTTTTTTATAGTATTTGTATTAAGTCTGGTACTTTTACCATAAACTGATACATCCATTATTTGGTAGAGGCTAATGTTTTAGAAATTATTAGATGCACTGAAAAAAATGCATTGAGTGTGTTAACTAGCTACATTGGGAGTTCAGAAATGCAATTCAAAAACGTTGTCTTAATGGGGCAGTTAAAGGGTTATTTCATATTTCTCATGGCTTTTTCTGAATGACAAAACAAGTCACTATCTTTACACTACAGTACAACCCACTCACTGACGTGATGTTACTCTGGAAACACATTACACATAATCAATCTGTCTTTAAAAAAAAAAAAAAAAGTTGAAATCTATTTATGGTCATGATGCTGAAGACCCCTGGGAGTGGTTTTTTAAAATTGACAATGGTTTAGACCACAACGTCAATTTCCTGGAAGCCGAGTGATAAGGCTACCCACATAATGGTTACTATGCCAACACTCATCTCTAGCCATCCCACATCAAGGCATCACGTCCTTATGAGCTCCACTGAGAAAATGTGGGCAGTTTCATGCTGACAGAACAAAAAGACCACCTTTCTCTAACCCTTCACGCCTTTTCCAGACACACTTAGGTGGCTTTCACGAGCTCAAAGAACTGGAATGAATGAACAAATGACTACATGCATACATACATACTAGGACTGTATGTTACTGGAAAACATACAATATTTTGGTCGAATGTAGCGATAACGATATTTCCTACTATATAACATTTGCTTTGAAACTTTTATTAGATACTTTATTAGATTCTATTTGATGATATTCAATAAAAGAGGTAAAAGATATTTCTGACATCTAATTAATTCGAATTCAGATAAAAAAAATGGTCAAGGCACAGACATTTAGTCTTTAAACACTATGACTGAGTGAAAACCCCCACAGATATTCTGACTCTGATTGTCTCGACTCTGCCTCTGCCCATTACTGTTTATTTCTTAGTGGGCCAACCAACGCATAATTCATTTATTCATTTTCTTTTCGGCTTTGTCTCTTTATTAATCGGGGGTCACCACAACAGAATGAAGCGCCAACTTATCCAGCATTATGTTTTACTCTCATTCACACACATACACAACAGCCAATTTAGAATTGTGGGGGAGACCAGAGCACAAGGAGGAAACTCACGCAAACACAGGGAGAACATGCAAACTCCACACAGAAATGCCAACTGACCCAGCTGGGGCTCGAACCAGCGACCTTCTTGCTGTGAGATGACAGCGCTACCCACTGCACCACTGTGCCACCACCAATGCATGTCTGTGATACGTATATTTATATACTACTATCATAAAATGATTATTTTGGGATATATTGGGCAGCCCTAATACATACATATACTCACTGGCCACTTTATTAGGTACACCTGTCCAACTGCTCGTCAGCGCAAATATCCTTATCATTCACATAGCAGCCACTCAATGCATTTAGGCATGTAGACATGGTCAAGACGATCTGCTGCAGTTGAAATCGAGCATCAGAATAGGGAAGAAAAGTGATTTAAGAGACTTTGAACATGGCATGGTTGTTGGTGACAGACAGGCTGGTCTGAGTATTTCAGAAACTGATGATCTACTGGGATTTTTACGCACAACCATTTCTAGGGTTTACGGAGAATGGTCTGAAAAATAGAAAATATCCAGTGAGCAGCAGTTCTGTGTATGCAAATGCCTTTTTGATGCCAGAGGTCAGAGGAGAATGGCCAGAATGGTTCAAGCTGACAAAAAGGCAAGAGTAACTCTCTTACCTGGTTGAATCTATGCTATGAAGGATTAAGGCAGTTCTGAAGACAAAAGGGAAACCAACCTGGTTCTAGTAAGGAGTACCTAATAAAGTAGCCAGTGAGTGTGTGTGTGTATAATATATATATATATATATATATATATATATATATATATATATATATATATTAGGACAAACAAATACTACAGAAGTCAATGGTTACAGGTTTCAAACATTTTTCAAAATATCCACTTTTGTGTTAAACAGAAGAGATTTGAAGTAAAAGGACAAATAAATGATGACAGAATTAAAATTTTTGGCTGAATTATCCCTAAGATAGCTATTTAAACATTATCATCCACGCTAATAGATGATAACACACGATCAAAAAGTTAATAACAATATTTATCTCCACAACAGTAATTAACAACAAAGCGAACTATAAAGCAATGACTAAATTGAGAGATATAGCAATATTTAGCTATAGACAGCTATAGTAAAATTACACAACTATAAAGAGGGAGATAACTATAAAGACAACTTTAGCTATAAATATGAAATTTTAGATTTAGATACATTTTAGAGCAGACAATAATGTAATATTCATTCTGGTAACAATAAAACGCCTGTTCCTCAGTTTTTTTTACTTCACTTTAAATGCTTAAACTCCTCAAAGCAATCTGATTGGTTATCAGAGTTTCATTTGTTTATCAACTTAAAAAAAATCATGTCCTGACAAAAAAGCAAATGCTACATTATCTTTCCTCTGTGCTATCATTTTTACAGATACAGTGTGGACTCCTTTATTCTTGTACATATAGAACCATTATTTATGACTCTCTTCATCATCTTCATAGTTATCCTTGGTGTGACTGGATTTCAAAGTTCTTATCATTCATCAGGCAAAAAAATAAATACATTTATTGAAAAGATATTGTTCGTCTGTGCCTTTGTTGTTGCTTTTTAAAATGAAAACTACATGACACAACCACATCTTTAGCATGAACAGGCCTTATATGAAAAAAGGAAAAAAAAAAGGCCAATAATTATTATTCAAACAGCTGTGCAATGTATCGCCTGCAGCAATCTCGACATCTAATCTGCTTACAGTGAAATACGGGTTGCCGAATTGTGGCAAGTCATATGGCATTTCTCAAGCAAATGGCGTGTAATGTAAACCACAAACTGGTGAGTGTGTTTTCTTTAGAAATAACACCCTTGCGAGGCAGCTTCAGCAGAAGCCATGAGACACTTTCAGCACGGGCTCCTGGAAAACAGCCTCTAGAGAATTCGCCTGCACACATCCATTTATATACTCACTCTTAATAAGTCTCATATCAACCTGTTTCTCAGACTAGAGAAACCACGGTCAAGTCAAAGGTTGTGCTTATTCAACAAATGCTTTTATAGAAAATTATCTTTCAGATTACCAAAATTCTGTTTTGTTCTTATTGACATCATGATCCTTTTAATAGAAGAGGATCTGCTGCTAAACAGAAGCAGGATCCTTAAATTACGCAGATTGTTGCTCTTGGTTTGCTTATTGCTAACATGTCTATTTAAAGACCTCAAATCTAGGGAAGTGAAGATGGGGTGAACTTAATGTGAAGTCTCTGGGAAAATGCTGAGAATTCAAATCATACATATAAACAATCGGAAAAAGCAGTTTTCTCAGTATTGCACAGATCCATCACTGCTTCTGGAGAAACAAGAAAAGAAATCCCAGAAATACGGGGAATTCTGGGAATGTGTAATTCCATTGCATACTTATAAATATGCAGCCAAGAACAGAGTAAGAAAGAAAACAACCTCACTTTTAATTCAAATTTGCAAACCAATAGACAAAAAGGAACCTTCCACCTTCATTTTTGTCATCTCTGTAATAAAATACACATGCTTTAGTTCTAAAATGCATATCGACTCTCGGTTTTACAGTGAAACTTTTGGATTTGACAAGTTGCAACAGACATATCTGGATTTCAGCCAGAGTTTTCCTCTATCATCAAGAGACCCAAACACAGAGAGGCCCACATATTCTAGGAAACGGAGACTTTCGGGAATTTAATAGTGTTGATTTTTCATCAGAACAGGAAATTTGAAGATGTATTTTGTCAGTTTAACTACCACAGATAAACCCTGTGAGGAGAGATTGTTTAATGAGACTCCACTCATATTAAAAGACAACCCAAATGTACATCAGAATAATTTATTGCATGACTTCGATAGCTCCAGTTGGTAAATTAATTAGATTAAGATTAGATCAAAACAAATCTTTACACTGTGTACAAATTTATACCCCCCTTGCGCCTCTTTTTGACATTGAATTGAACCTGGAAATACTGATATATGCAGAATTATGTGTATTGCTTCTAATATATTTGACAAACTCTGCCAATAAAGCTTCAATCTGAGTCCAGTTGTTTTTTTGTTTTGGAAATAAGCGCTCAGTCACAGTTACCACATTTTTGCATCAGTGCCAGCGTGTGGATCCTTTCTATGTGCAGCTGTCTAGAAACTGAAAACATATTTTCAACTTCAGTCCATTAGTGACGACAGTCTGTAAGTGAAATAAATGAGTCTTGAATTACTCTTATAACACACCAAAGTCAAACGAAACAAACCACAAACACATCACACCCAGCTTTGATTAAGTGTGTCCAGCACAAGCTCTTAATGACCTCTAGAATATTAAGTGTTAACGAACATTAAAACACAGGAAAAGTGGTAAAGAGGCCACTTTTAAGTACTAAAAGCTCAACTGCATGGACAAAATAGGTCTATTCACCTGGTGCCTGCAGATTCCAGGAGGTTAAGGAAAGAAAACCAACATGTGAAAGGTACGGCAGTGACATAAACTCTCAGGAATGAATTCGATGACATCAGGTGCGCTCACCTGATGAAAAGATCACTTTAAAAATGTGACTGATGCACGTTAGTCAGCATTTTAGTTTTTAAAGTCCGATTTAGTGGAGCATGGTTGGATGGAACGATCCAATACCTGCCAAAAGCGAGCAAGAGTTCATAGGTTGAATGATCTGGAATTAAAATAGGTTGTTTTATACACATTCCTGCTTCTTACAATCTCCAAAGACCGAGGGGCTTTTTTGTTTGTAAACCCACCTTTGAAGTGCAAATCAATGTTCAGCCAAAATGAAATATACCTTCGGAAAAGAGCACCGCTGGACAGACCCAGAAGTCTTTTGGTACATTCCTCAGTGTTAAGACTGGTAAAATCAAGCAGGTATTTTCCCACTAACCCACTCAGATATTTATTATTATACAAACACACCCTTTCTTCTCAGGCTGCTCAGTCTTATAAAAACCATACTCTCTCACACACACACACACACACACTCAAACAATCACAACACTCAGCACCAGAACAGACCGAATAAAGCAAAGACTGTGCTTTAAGCAAAACTTGTGACCAACAATAACATCATTGTTCTGTCAGCGCCATTTTGCTCTGATCTTGATTTCAAGAGAATTAATGGTACCCTCCCTAATGATACAGATTCAACTGAGGGACTGAACCACTAAAGCTGAAGGCATATGCTGAATCGTTCGTGCTCAATTGACTACACAACACAACATGCATTTCTTGCTTTAGTAATCTAGCCCCAAATTCATCAGAACATTTCAATTTTAGTACCAAGAGACATCAGTCTATCGCCGTCTCTTCCTCCAGGTCTGGGTTGTCCTCTTGGTTGGCCAGGACGCCCATAGAGTCTGCCTCAGGCTGAGTCACGGGTTCCTCCCTCTGAGCCTGCATCAAATCCTCAGTTTCTCCAGCAAGCAAAGGCCCGGACTCAGGAGACGATTCATCTTCTTCTGGTATGATTGAAATGTCTTGAGACTGTGCGTCCCTTACCCCTGTGCAGTCATCTTCGGGTCGGCTGGTGTTGGCTACCTCGTCCTCATCCTGGATGGAGGATTGGGTGCTGAAGGAACGCAGACGAGGCGGGTCGGCGGGGGGCAGCAGGGTCAGCGACTCCACACTCAGGGTTTCGGCATCATTGTCAGATAGGAGGGAGATGGTGGGTTGTGGTGCAGGGGTGAGGCTCGGCGCTAGAGCGAGTCCTGAAATGGAGACACAGAAGGGTCGGTTAGTTGTGAACATGCCTCTGGGATTATGGAGAAGGGGATGGGAACTGCAAGCATGCAGAAATTCATCAAAGCAAAGCAGGCAATGGAAGAATTGAAGAATGTCTGGTTTGGTGGGTTTTTTGTAATGTGGGTTTGTGTTCGCACATGTGTTGTGATACATAGAAAAATGTGCAAGTTTATTAGTTTAGCTGAGATCTTCCGACAGAGAAAATTAATGCATTGTTAGACAGAAGATAAAGAGGTGTAGAAATTAATGGATATACTGACATAAGATGCGATATTAAAGACAGAAGGTATAGATAAGTTAGATAGAAATATAGATTTTTTTAAACCAGACAGACAGAACATGAATTCATAATATCTGTATTCGCATAATAATAACTTGAGCATAAGCAGAAGAAATCAAGGGTGTAACATTATATTGCATTATTAACCTTAATCAAAGAAAAGAATATAAGGAGTTGATTTCTTAATGGGCTATATGCACTGTAGTATTTTTCAGCCAACTGTAAACCTCCGGTGAAAGGTTAATGTGACTATTTTAAAGTTTACAAGCTTCCCTTAACAGCATCGACATCACAAAGTAATTAAAATACAATTAGTTAAATACACGCAAGCATTCATTTAGCTGTTTAAGCATAAAACAAGATGACAGTCCTTGTAAAAGATCAGCAGGCTAGTGCAGAAACTGCATTGAAAATACTGAGGTAACAAACATTCATATTTTATAGAGATGGCAGGGAAAAATTGACTATAATGCAGTGCTTCTTGTCCGGTCTGAGACCCACTTTATATTATATATCTATTAGGCAGTAAAGATCACTTATTTTAAAGACCTTAAATATGGCGATTTTGTAATGGAAAGAGTTCATCGGAAGTTGTCAGGCTGGCTGGCTGGAAATGAAAAGTCTGTGTGCATATACCCCATATAACTTCATTTGATTTTTACATTAGATGTAAAGGATGGACAGACTACTACATAGTTTGGCAGGCAAGCAGGCCTTCTGGTAGAGAGGTCAAAGAGAGACAGATAGCGACTAATTTGTAAGTCGCTTTGGATAAAAGCGTCTGCTAAATGACTAAATGTAAATGTAAATGTAGTAAGAGGGATACCGGATAATCAAGACAAGATGACAAGATAACATAGCTAACCAAACACATGCCATAAGACAAAAAGCTTATGAATTGAGTGCGAGGGAAGCAGACACGAGTGAGTCAGACATGTGTAAAGACTCTATATTAAGTAACTGTCTGCCGAGCAAAAGAATGTGAATGTAGGAACCTGAATGGCACGAATGTGTGAAAAAAATGAACATAGCTGAAAAACAGGATACAGAAGGCAGAAAGCTCTTTCTTGCTCAGCGTGGCATTAATTCAGTCTTGGGTTTTCTTTTGTTAAGCACACACCTAATACCATGCACTATTAAAGAGAAGTCTCACTGTTTCAACAATTATGGTTATTCATAAACACTCAGCACTTACATGGATTTCAAACAAGAATGCACATCAGTAATATTTTCACTTCACACCTTAATTACAAACACTGTGAGGTTTTTAATGGTTATGCGTATATACAGACTTACAAAATAATTCAACTACTTTCATTTATCAACTAATGTTTGAGCATATAAGGACACGCGCACACACATACTGTAGATACACAATGCTCAAGTTTTTAGTAGCACTGCAGGTCACTGGAAACTAGGACTAGCCGGTCTACAATAAAGCGTCACACAGACATGCCTGTTACGTGTTCTGGCAGCTCTAAACCCACTCTCCACCGTGCCTGTCATCCTCTGACAAAGAAAACACACACCTCCGGCCTTCCTTGCCAGACCTGACTAGAGAACAAAAGGACACATCAAAAAGTACAAATTCATTTAGCATCTAATCTGAAGTGTTCATGAAGCAAAATCTATAGCCAACGGACATATTCAATCAGTATCACATGCAAACAGGTAGTTTTAAATCTATAAAGAGAGGGACAATTATAAATATTAAGCTTGATTTAAACCCAACAGCTCACTGGCCTACTGAGCATAACAACTTAACCCCTTGTGAAATGATTTCATGTAACTCTTCTTCACTTTCTACCCATCTAAGGGGCCGTTCATGCATGTCTTTTGCTCACTCAGGTTTGTTGCTTTAAAGTTAGACACACAAGTTTGAATAGAATCAAAGTGATGATTTCCACACAGCAGCCAAAATTGTGCAATTGAGTAATATTAATATTATTGTAGATCTGTTCAGTATCCATCTACTAATAGTAGTAAATGGAAAGATCAGCTCATGGTTGCTTAGCAACAGCAGACACCACCGGAGCACAAGCTACCGAGCGCTCGGGAAAAGAGGAGAAAGCAGCCTGCCTGGCGTTTTCCAATGCTAATATGCCCTATTAAAAGAAGAAAAGGGGCATGAATAAGTATTTGAGCAGAACAACGTAACAGTGATGTACTAATAACACTTTCCTTTGTGCTTTTGAATAGTTTTGCACAGAGACAAAATGTCAAAACAATCCATGTTCAAACAGATCTACAAAAACATAAATATTATACATATACATATATACACAACAGTTCTGTCTGGTTCTTGAATCTGATTAGCTAATAGCTGTGCGATATTTTGCAAAGAACAGCACTCGTCCAGCCTTTTCCCCCTTCACCCTTGTGTGTTACTCCACCCACATACAGGACAAGCAGAGGATGCTCTACAGTTTGACAATTATTGCTGCTGTTGGACAACATAATGTGAGGCTTTTTTAGAATGTAGTTGTTTAGATTGCAACTATTACGAATATTTTTAAGGATAGTACCTATTTTAAATATTTCTAATTTTTGAAAGACATTAGGCGGTCATTAGCCTGTCACTGAGCAAAGCAACAACAGTTGAAGTGGCCTATTCACAAGATGGTGACAGAGACATAAAATCATAATTTCAAACTACAGCTGATCAAATTATTATAAAACTGGTAAGTGACTTTCTAAGTTGATCTCTCTTTTTTGTATGTTGCAAGTTCTGTATTTTTGCCATAGTAATTGTAGTATGTTAAGTGTGGGATGGGACTCACATATCAGGAATGTGTGTATTTTGTGTTGGCCACTTTTTGTATAAAGCTGAGTTACTTTTTTGTTGGCCATCTGTTTGTTTCTAATAAGTCTCGTGTTTTCGTTACTGAAGACTAGTTCAGTAAACAGAAAGAAAGGAGAAATGCCTGCATGTGTTTGACGTTTTTCCTTATCGCAAACACAACAGTAATCTGGTAGTGTTTGCTTAGCTCTGTTTTTTTGGGGTTAATTATTATGATATCACGATTGCAACAGAATTATTGGGAAATCTCTGTAGACTGATGGCATTTCATGATCTTAAAATGTGAGCAAAATCAGCTGTTTTGTCATCACTTTAGACATTAAGCTACAGAATCATTCAAATACTAGCTCTAAAGTGACATTTGTGAAGTAGCAACAGTCTCTGCTGTTCTAACGTCAGCTGCAGATGTGAATTAATAGAGGAAGAAAGTAGATTCTCCTAAAAAGGGGTTTTTGAGACTCTCCGTGTTTGATTTTCTTTTTTAAATACACGATTATGCCGTCAAACTGTTGAATACATGCAATATCACACTCATAGCAGTGCCATGTAACTGTATTTCATCACTGGTGGGACATCTCTCTCTCTCTCTCTCTCTCTCTCTCTCTCTCTCTCTCTCTCTCTCTCTATATATATATATATATATATATATATATATATATGTATATATGTATGTATATATATATATATGTATATATGTATGTATATATGTATATGTATATATATATGTATATAGAGAGAGAGAGAGTGTGTGTGTGTGTGTGTGTGTGTGTGTGTGTGTGTGTGTGTGTGTGTGTGTGTGTGTGTGTGTGATTATAAGCATTTTTGAACATAATCTATTTTAATGCAATGGCAAACATTTTTAAATATGATGATTACAATGATGATAATCCAAGCACTGGATGGATGGATGGATGGATGGATAGATAGATAAATAGATAGGATAAATCGATTGACTGATTATTATTTGAGTTTTTTCTTCTGCTAAACACAAAAGAAGATCTGTTGAAAAATGCTTGTTGTTGGTTTCCATTGACTTCCATAGTATTTTTTCTCCGTATGGAAATCGATAGGTCCCAATAACAAGCATTCTTCAAAATATCTTCTTTTGAGTTCAACTGATAAAAGTAAAAAAAAAAAGTTTAAAACTTTTTGAATGATGAGTAATTTTGATTTTTGAGTCAACTAACCCTTTAAGCTTAAATCTGTGAAACTAGGGAAACCATCCCTGTTGATCTTGTTTATTTATTTTAAATAAAATGCATTTATGTGAAGCAGTAAAAAGGTCCAATTGAGTTTCCTGTTGACATTAACTCTATGCAGGTTGCATACGTGCAACCACACTCTTAAGGTACTTGTGGTTCATGTCTGTTATGACAGAGACTGAGGGAGAAATGGATGTCAGTCTTACCACAAATCCACACCTTCAAAACAAACACGTCATCTGCCACCAGTGCTGCTGTTTCTAAGAACTTCTCTTCAAAGATGTGCCGCCCCACAAGGCATTAACAGTGAATGTGGTCAGCTCACATGTGTTTGTAAGGCAGCCCTTTATTCAGGCAACTACATGTGATGTTCAGAAGACTATTTGTCCAAGTTAAGGATATTAAGAAATGATATGGAGAGTTTTACTTCAGACACTTTGGAGAAAGGCCACTGTATGTCAAAACAGATCATCATAGTGATTCAGAGAATAAATTGAACAGAGATAATGTAATGAAAAAACAAAACAAAACCAAAAAAAGCTCATGACCATTTTAGTTAAACGCCTCTGCCAAAATACAGAAATCTGTAGGCGACTTCATAGAGGCCACAAGACTCCACTTCTCTCTTCAGAGAACCAGCCACCAGAATGGCTACTGGGCGCTTGTGGTGTGAAGACTTCGTGA